ACAGAAAGGGCATCGAAATGTTGGAAAATCGCTATACCAAGTGTGTCGCCCTCGAAGGCAACTATGTTGAGGAATAAATATAACTTTGCCCAAAAAACGCTTGTTTTCATTAAAAATCCCGGGATTTTTCAGCCCATGTAATAATACAACCTGCTTGTCCGGGCTCCCGGATGTGTGTTTTTTTCTCTCATCTTCTTCGGTCTTCCTTCCAAGGGTGGCGGGTGAGACGGCACGATGATACCGTATTATTTTACAGCAGCTGCCGAGCGTGATCCGTAGCGCATCCACGCTTTCTGATAAACTCGTTTATTACGCAAAAGAAATGCTAACACAAAAAGAGGAAAATTTGTAGAGTAATTAGATGACGCGATTTTAACGCTCGTTCGCGGGTGCGCTCGCACGCGCGCTCGCGTGCGCACTCGCCTGCGCGCTCGCTCTCCGAGCCGATAGGAAGCACGAGTCCTCCGCCAACAAGTCTGCACAGTGACTGATAAAATGTCACGTCACAATTAATAATTCTGTAAATGGCTGCATTCAATGGTTCTTTAGTAAATCGAGTATTCATAGAAATGTCTAATTTTTTTTATATATGAAGTTGAAGTACCAAAATTGACATGTGCAAAATTCTATGGTAGATTAACGATGAAATAAGAGAAAAAAAATGTTGAAAATGTAACCTTTCACGAATAACATAGTGACAGACATAAGGCTCGCAGACACTTTTTTGACTGATTGCACCTTGGAACTTATACTACTGGAAGAGGAATTGCCTATGCTGACCTGTATACCGAGGTGAAGCCAACTTCTTTCTCGTTAATGGCTTCCGCGGCGACACGACATGATATGGCCAGTATCCAATGTAACGACAGTAGTAGAGGGGATAGAATCCCAAGGAGTAGAGCACGCTCCGCGCACACTCTCGAAGGAGGGGCGCCGGTGGGAGAGTGGTCTAGCTATATTTGTATATTGGCAGACCGGAGGAAAGCCAATAGGAGTCGGCATAATTTTGGAGTAGGATTAACCAGGCATGGAAAAATATTATTGTTGGACTCGGGGAATTTATTGCGAAGGTAGTTAACGATTTTGTCAGCCTTAAGACGAATCTGTTGACAATAGAATACTACGTGGTTAATGTCCTGACGGGGATCTCCGCAAAGACAGGCCGGAGAGCTTACAATGTTCTTTCTACAGTGACTGTATTGGAGATTGTATTGATTGGATCTTATGCGATTGATCATGATAATTTCCTCTCTTTTAAGCGATTTTTGAGAATGCCAGGGATTAACAGCGGGGCTTGAATAATATTCTGCATAAAACTGCCCTTTGACGCGCGCTTTCTCTACGAGAAAAGCGAAGTTTCATGTTCTTATTAAGCTTTAGAGTCCAGGTGGAAATCCGCGTATGGAATAGAGTATTGTGAACGGTCACCCGAGGCGCAAGCGTCCTTGGCAAGTTGGTCTGCTATTTCATGCCCTTGTGGGAGAGTATCCAGAAGAGTCACGCTAGAATTCTCTTGAAGCATTGTCCAAAGCTGGTATTTGAGCAGGATGGTCAAGTAGTTGCTAGTACCAGAGTTAACGTGACTAATTGCCTCTAACACGCTTCTCGAGTCTGTATAGATAATGACATCGAAGCAGCTGTGTACTGTAGCAAAGTCTGAACGATCGCCCAAGCTTTGGCCGAAAAAATGGAGGTTTCAGGCGGTAGTCGGTGCATGATACTGATATTGAGTTCTGGGGAATGGATGCCGGCACCCACCGCTGCCGTGTTGTTCAGTTTAGATCCATCAGTGTAGAATGAGATGTAGGATAAAGTAAATTTGGATGTTCTGAGAGCAAACTCAGCTTGAAAAGTTACTGGGGGATTAGAACTATCGATCGAGGACATACAATCGTTGAAGGGGTAGGTGAAAATGGAGACAAGGTAGTTATAGGAGAGAAAAGGGGGATATTTGAGCGATGAATGCTAGTGTTTACATGCTTTAGCGCAGCGTAGACGCGCAGACCAGGAATTTTTCTAACAGCGTCAGCCTGTTTGGCAGGATTATATGTAGCGCCTTCAATGGCTTTAAAGCTGTCGAGGACCGGATTATCAAGGATAGCAAGGTTTTTATATAAAAATTTGGAGGTAAGATAAGTGAAGTGAATGTAGA